TTAACAGAGTAGGACAGTGAGAAACATTGCCATATCTTGGAAACACCTTCCCCCCACCCCTTCCTTCTTCCCAGGCTCAGCTCTGCTCCCTATATCTCTAGCTCCTCCCCAAGTGGCACAGGGGCAGAGAATGGGGGGGTGCAGTCAGTACTGCCACTTTCTCCATCTTGAGTGGGGGGAGCTTCTGGAACCTGTTATCCCCGCTCCATCATGGTCCCCCTCTCACAGGAGACAGGATTCAACAAACTTTCTCCAACGTGAGTTCCTCCCACGGGCCCGCAGCATTCCCGACACTGCTCTGTCATGGGTTGTTAACTTTCTCCAACTGGATTCCCTCCCACGGCTGCAGCCCTTCCCGAGCTGCTCCAGCGTGGGACACCCCCACATGCTCCAATCCTCCCAGCGTTGAATTACAGCAGCGGGGCTGCCTTTTCCCACAAGACCCTGGCCTTCTTCGGGCACAGCACCTTGATCATCCATGCGAAACGAAACACAGGCCATAAATCAGTGTCTGCTTCACCGTAGATCTTCATGGGTGGCGGGGGGGGCCACCCTGCTGTCTCACCACAGGATACTGGGGGCGTCTCTGCTCCGGCACACCTACCCCCTCCTTTCTTCCTCTGTTCCTCCACTGACCTTGGTGTTCACGAAGCTGCAGCAACTCCTCCCTTCAAGTCCGACTGCTCATCACCATGTCCCTTCTTAAATACGTTATTGCAGAGGCGCAGCTGATTGGCTCAGTTTTTGAGAAGAGGTGGAGCCGACTTGGAGCTGCAGGAGCTTCAAGAAGCTTCTCACAGGGGGCCACCCCTATAGCCCCCCTCCCCTGCCACCAAAAAAACCCCACCACTCACTCAACCCAGGACAGTGATTTACTGTGGAAAAAATTATTGTTCTCTTTAAGAAGACAACATGTGAGATGTTCCTGGTGTAATTTTATACAAATATATGTTCCTTCACATGATTATTCTCATAGAAATGAATAGGATTGCTTATGTACCACTTTGAGTAAGGATGGCAAAACCAAAGTCCAAATAAGGAATACGAACCAGACTCAAATACAAGAGGGGTGATTGAAAGTGATTCTTAATTTTGAATTTATTGAAGAAAGACCAGACTGTAATTAGATTCTGTGAACATCATTTCCTCAGGGATTTCAACAGCTGCAATACAAAAACTAATGCAGGTTTCCTCATCAAAATTTTAATTGGCTTTATTTGTTTAATAATATCCAAACTGACTGTGTTTAAAATTTACACTATCCAAATTCTCTTGAGCAAGAACTATAACACTAAGTTTCATCCAGCTGAAAGTTCAATTTGCAATCCTTTTTTCATCCTAGGCAAATTTAAACCCCCAAATGCAAAATTTTTTAAAATATCATTCATTAATGCTATCTATTATCTTTTGCTGTTTAAAAAGACCTGTTTTGTTTCTCTATTTTTAATATCTTGTGAAAATGCTAAATCATATGCCAGATAGTAGCAACAATGATTTGTGAGAATATACACTGAGATTTTCCATGTTTACATGGCTTTTGTTCTTGTATTTTTTTTCCTTCTTAGCCATGATTTCAGTTCACAGCAGTGCTCATGGCTTGTAATTTTTGTGTTTTTGTAAACTTTGATGTATATGAGGACATAATATATCAATAAAAATTTATCTTGTTTTGGGCTATAATTCTTCATAGATCTGTCTTTTATTCATGAAAATGTACAATTCATTTAAGCCTTACTCATGTACGCACAAAAATCATGTATAAGTAATTTCATTTTTCTTTTTTTCTGTTACCTAAACTATTTTATGATAAAAAGCTTTAAGAACACCATTTCAGTTCTGAATTGTAAAAAAAGGCAAGATCTGGATTCTTAATATGTACACTTCAGCAAGAGTCACTGTGATTTGTAAAGCCATGGGTATCAGTTGGGATTTTAAGTGAAATCACTTCAACACAGAAGTTTAGATCAGAATTTAACCTGATGGCTGTAAAAATTTTGTGCTCTTTTCCGTTGTGGCAGCAATTCTCCTTTTCTTTTTATTATGCAGCAGTGGTGCTTGCCATATGCCCAGTGTCACATCAGACAGAGAGGAGAGGCAATGCGCAGTGCCAAAAGGGCACCCCTGTGTCACCTGATGAGGCCCCATGCCACAACCTCTACAGAGGCTGGCAATCATGGATGCAAACTCTGTCAGACCTGCAGCACTACACTGTAAAATTTGAAGTGAATACTGGTGGTGATGTGCTGCCATGGGTAAAAGCCAACCACCACGCTGTTCCTACTGACAAGTTTAATTAGACAACTAAATTACTACTTTTATACTACTGGTTCAATCAGGAATTGAAAGACTGCAAGGAAGATACAAAAGGAAGAAAAGCTGTATAAAGACCAGACCACTTCATTTTAGGATATTTTGTGTAACTCCTGTTCCTTTAGCACTATTATTCTGTATTTTAATCTTTTCAGGCCTTTACATGTAAGTGTTGTCATGGGTAGATGGAGGATGGTGAACCGAATATCCATCTATTGCATTGCCTTTTCTCATCTGAAATGTAGCCTTTAAAAAAAAAAATACTCGCAAAATACCCCATCTTCTTACTCTACAACATATTCATTATCAGATCAACTCACACTACTAATTAAGTCAAATTTGACTGCTAAATAAATCCCGAAGAGCCAATTTATCTAAGGTAGTATGATCATGTATTAATTTCTCCTTATACATCACCAGCTGTTATTAATTAAATTCTCGTTACTTCAGACTTCAAGTTTTAAATAATTGCCACTATGGAAACACTTTTACACTGTACCTAACAGTGAGTTTGGCTGTTACTTTACTGATATTGATAGTGATCTGAATATAGGTAGACACCACTCTAGTTACATCATTTTAGAGTTTGTGAGATATTCAGAGGAATGTGTGGAATTTTCAAATTCACTATTCACTTATTGAATGTAAAAATCTTTGTCATAAATACACATGAAGTGCAGAACTGAGTTTGACGGATTATTCTCTGAAGAGACTATCTCCTCTCTGAAGGTGTAATATACTTTTTCAAGACTAGAGAAGATCACAGTGGCAGAAAGTGATTTTTCCCTCTGCAACAGCTCCTCTCATCTGGCTGCTGTGCTAAGATGAGGGTTGAAGTGATGCTCATAGTCTACTTCCTCACTACCTTCCACCTACATCTATGAAGCACCTGTGGGTTAATGCTGTGACAACCGGTAGGTTTCTGCTATGCAAAGACTACCAGTATGAACAGGTATTAGGATGAAAGGGCATACTTTGCACTCCCTTAAGCTTCTGTACGAATACATTGCATTTAATTACTCTTTTCAGCAGAAGGTTCAAGGATCATCATTACAGATAATGAATAATATTCTTGCATGTAAAAGTTTTTCAACCAAAGGGAGACAAAATTGTCCTCCAGATAAATTTCTTAGCCCGCTGGTAAAACTGAACTAGTGTCTCTTGAAATTAACTAAGCTTTCTCAAATTTCAGTCATCACAGTACATGGAAGAGAAATGAAAATCAAATTCTGAAATATTTATTAGTCCTATGTTTCAACGAAAGTGTGAGTAAAATCTGCATACTCCAAAAAGTAAAATTCTTGAGTTTTTAATAATACACTTCCAATATGTTGCCACCTGCAAATCTTACTGATATAGATACTAAACTATTACTTGATAGATCAAGTTCATCTTTCTTTTATTGAAAAGGTCATTTATAAGAAACAAAAGATTGCAGAGAATGAACAATGTTCTATACATTTATCTCATTTCATGTATATCATAACACTTCTGCTATCTTTTGCCCTTTTTTAAAAAAAATTCTTATTTCATTTATGAAAAAATATCAGCATTATGATGAATATTTTTAAGGTGATCTACAAGCACAACTTTTTTCACAAACAACTTCTAGAAGGTTATTTTATTTTTTCCATTACTGTTATTTAACTGCAAGACTATAACTATGATTAGAAATTTGTCTTTGTTGTATGGGGGAATTATGGGAAACAAATGCTGTATTCTTTAATGAGTCACACACTGAATTCACAGCTCACCTGCTGATTTTAATTTATGTGGTAATTTACAAAACAAAATACTTTGTCTCATCTATATACTGCGTTTCACTTATTTTCAAGAAAACATGTACTATGTTTTCTTGTATTTGTTACTCCTGTTTGTGAGCACTTTCTAACCTCCTATCTAAAAGTAAATTGTTTATGCAAAGAGATTATTGAGAGAATTGAAATAAAATCCTTAAGCACTTTCCAGATAATACAAAGGAATCTGTTTATGATAAGTTGTTATTTTTTTAAAAGTGAAAACAATACTATTAATTAAGGCTACATTTTAAATGTAACAATAATTTGTTTCCTAAAAGATGCAAATCCATTTCAGTTTAAGAGCAGTGAATCATCATCGTCATCAAGTTATGTTAATTATAGCATTTAAAGTCTTAATCAAATAGCTTAGAATCTAAACATATGAAAGAGAACTGGAGACAGAAAAAGACCATATGTATATACAGAAGACCTGTAAATTAGTCAAATCAACAGTTCGTATATATGATTCACCAAGCAAATTCACCAAGATTAGCTCTTTCTCCTAGAACTATTTTATTTTAATCTTGCAACTCATATAGCCACTTTATGTAGATTTATTTGGGAACCCTGAGGTTGCCCAAATACATACACAATCTTATCTGAAGAAAATACTAAAGGAACCTGACATTCATTAGCTACTGAGAAGCTACATTGAGCCAAATTGTCTATCCAGCTTTATGTGGTGATTCTGGGAATAACTTTCACCATTAGTTTACAAAATCACTGAAAGAAACCTGTTTAATGTAAATTTGGGAATCCTGCTGAGGTTCCTGACAACTGATAAAATGAAATGGAGAGAAAACCACCATTGCAAATAAAAAACAATTTACATGAATTCTGGTCAAATGGAAAAAAGCCAATGGACATGGCATTTACTTATTAGGAACTTGCCTTGTAAACTGTAGATTTCTCCAACGCTGTTCTGCCGGGTGATATGATGCCAGTATGCACTACGAGGAAGTGAGATCGACTTGGACAATGTCATTGGTTCAGACAGACTGGTCTGGAGCTAAAAACCAAAGTAAACATAAATGGAAGATCACACATAACCATATTTGATAGATAATCTCAGAACTGTAAACTGAACAAATGTTGTTATGAAGATGCTATTTCCTGAATTACCACAAGTTTTACACCATCATTTAAACTGTGTTATAAGCATCAGGACTATGAATGCTCAAGAAAAAGCTGCAAAGGCATATTTGGGTATATAGGTTCACTAGCACAGGCTAATATTAGGACATAGGAATATAGCCCTATTTATCTACAGCTATTCTTGTTGCTGCCAGGATTTTGTTATTTTCTTCTTTAACTTTATGATAATGATGGATTAGAATATACCTGAAATCTTAAACACTTCTTTTTGGTCATTTAACCTGCATATTGGATTGAATACCCAGAAAGATGCTAAAAGAGAATCTGAGACAACCAGCAAAGAAATAGAAAGAAAGAGTCATGAATCCCCTAATCCTCCATTCAAGTGGAAGAATATTATGCCTAGTAGCAGGCTACAGCCTCAAGAGCAAATTTTCCCCGTTTGGGGACCTCATGTAACCAAAACTGTGAATCACATGATAATTGTCCATGTGTACAGGAGCTACAGCACAGAAACCTGAGAGGAGGAATGTAAACTTTATTAAAATTAAAGAGAGCTCTGTCGCCAACGCACTACAGATGTGAGTGAAAGACAAGAGTAGGTTATAGAAAAGAGAAGAATGATGGAGGATTGTGCATCCTGACAACCTCTTTGGATATACCTGTATAGCTTACACTTCCTCTGTCTAGAAGAAAAGAGAATGCAAAATTTTTGTATCTGTGGCTTTACAGACTATAAAATGTGGTCATGTCATGGTTTGAGTCTGCTCAGCAGCTAAACACCACACAGCTGTTCACCCACCCTCCCCTCACTTGAGAACGGGGAGGGAATCAGAGGGGCAAAGGGAGACTCGCAGGTTGAGATAAAAACAGTTTAATAACAGTAATAGAACACCCTGACAGCAGGATCAGCGGGTAATGTACAATACAGCTGCTCACCTCCCACAGACCGACACCCGCCTGCTCCCGCCTGGTGATCCCCAACACAAAGGCGCCGCGGCAACGCTCCCAGAAGTAAGAGCCCCTCCCAGCCCGCTCCGGCCTTTCTAGAGTGAGCGTGATGTCACGTGACACGGCATATCGGCCAATCGGGGCCCAGCCCTCCAGCTGTGCTCCCCCCACCCCCGCGCACAGGTGAGGGCACTAGGACCTGGGGAGCCCCTGGGGTCTCAGTGTGCTGCAGCACTCCTCCCGCTGCCGAACCAATGGGAACGCTATCCCAGCCCCAACCAGGATAGGTCAGTAATTTGAGAGATCTAACAAATCGCAACAATGCTGTTGGGGCATGAAATATCCTCAGTGGTGGTCTGAAGGATCAATTATGTCTGAAGATTTAGAGGGGAAAACCTCTTAATTTCAGGAACAGCACCAGGATGGTGAGGGTGGTACTCTGAAAGGGTGTGCCTAGAAACCCGTGTTTTCAGAGTCTCTGTAACTCCAGTTACAGAGTAGAAGGTATTCAAGGTCTGGATCATTTACTGCAGGCTAATGATTAACTCCTATGAATTCCTCATTCAGAATCATAATGTCAAATTTTAAAAGCTGTTTTTACCAGTACAAATGCACACTATTCTGTAACAAAAAGAAAACCCCTTTTCGAGACAGTATCCACTATTTATAATCTATATTAAATTATCTGCAATTATTTCATTTTTGAATATTAACACACACTGATGTGTGGCAGATATTTTGCTTCAGATTAATCTATTTTAATTACTTCCATTGTTGTTTTCTTGAGGATTGTCATCAGAATTACTCTCTGTCTACAGCTAATGTCTTTTGCTCATTTATAGCCAAATATTACATTTAATTTTTCAGTGGGGCAGGTCATCAATGGAAGCTATTCAATATGAAATAAAGACCTTGCAGAAATATTCCCTCTATTAAAAGAAGTTCAAAATCCTTATCACAGGAGTTCTATTTTTAGGCCAACTTGAGAATTTAAGGTTTATTGATGCAGAGAATTTCCTTTATTGTGGAGATCACAGCAATAACAAACATTCTAAGTTATTTTATCATGTTAGTATAGCAAGGCTAAAAAGGGTAGCTTTGTTGAGGAAGAAAAATAAATAAAATCATATAACTTCAATACACAGATGATTTATTCATAATTTATTCACTCAAAAGGTAAATTATAGTCTTGAGACAATAGGCAAAATTTTTTATTAGTATGCATTCTGAAAAAAATAATTCCAGTAAAAAAGAACTACTTTGACTATGGTTCATTACCTGTAACCTAAATTCATGGATTGAAGTGATTAAAGTTATATCATTATTCCTGATCTGAAGTTATTAGTTCCTGCTTGATCTGACCAACACTGATGCAGAAGTTTATATGCACACAGAAAAGCTTTGAAAGAATCAAAACAAATCCATTCTCATTATCGATGAAGTTAAGAACTGCTCTACTGCAGATCTCATTGTAAGAATTCACAGTACTTTGTTTCCTCAGATTCTCTAATTAAAGAACAACTTCTGATATCACCTTTTGGGCAAGAATTATCACCATATGCTAACTGCAATAGGATCAAATGAACTACACTTCTTTGGGGACTCTATAGAGAGAAAATGCAATTTCTATTTTATTAAAATATCATCCTCAGGAAAAAAATACTTTAAAATACATCGTGAACATTGCTTTTAATTTGAGACTTTAAAGTATAAACATAAACATAGAGATTTGAAGAACTTATCACCTTGTATATCATATAAGGATGATAATATAATAGCACATTATTTTGTCCATGAAGTTATTTTTACTAATTGTTAGATCAATATTAGCTACAATTTTGCTTTTTATCTTTTTCATCAGTATAAAAACCTCATTATTGGTCAAATATAATTGACTATGTCAGAATGCTTACTCCTACAGACTGCTATTTATAAAAATATTTATGTGTTCAAAGAAAATTGCATAATCTACTGACAGAAACCTACTTTCTCTAGAGACCATATTATATGCTAGACTGTGGGTGTTTCAGATATAAAATTTGAAACCAAGGTGAAGAAAACAGACATATAAACATTAATATGATCTATGAAAATCTATGGAAAGCTATTAAATATCTTTTTGCTATATAATTATTAAAGGTTATACTAGAATTTAATGTACAGAGATCTACTGTTTCATAATCCGTTTTCCCCAACTGTAAATGAATGATGTTAAAAAAAAAAATGGAAAAAATAAAATTAAAAAAACCCTAAGCAATTTGTAACTCAGGGGAGATGAACTGGAACTGTTTCCTTGTTAAATAATTAGCCACTCAGGCTTGAGACTTCTGGTGTTCCAGATCAGTGGAAGACATCACTCTGGATAAGTTCAAAGACTTTATCCTAGATACTCTTACATTTTGTCTTTTTACTATGACTCAGAAAAAACCCCCTTGACTTCTCCTCTATGATTTTCTGAATCAGCTACCTCAGAGAAGATTTCACTATGGAAAAACATGTAAATAGCCTTTTAATTTTCTTTTTTTCTTGAAACATGCAGACCATCAGTTTCCAGCACAGATTTTTTTCTGTCTTTAATTTAACATAAATACAATTCAAAAAATATCTTTAAAAATTATTTCACCTATCTCCTTAAGCCTATTTAACATTTACAAAATTAAATCAATACCTCTGAGTATGGATTCCTTCCTATGTAAGAGGTCAATGTTCAGCTGTTGCTTCCAATACTGGCACATTTTCCTCAGGAGCTTGCAAAACAGGCTCAGATGTGTGAACATCAATGGTGCAGAAAGAGCCCATAATGGCAGAGGTAACACAGACACATAGAAGAACTAAACACGTTGATTTGGGAATTAATTTGAGGTAATTATTCTTCTCTAGTCTGCTTTGTCAAGACCCCACCTGGAGTAGTGCATCCAACTCTGGAGTCCTCAATACAAGAAAGACATGGCCCTGTTGGAGCGGTTCCAGAGGTGGGCCACAAAACTGAGCAGAGGGATGGAAGATCTCTGCTATGAGGAAAGGTTGGGAGAATTCAAGTTGTTCAGCTTGGCGAAGGCAAGGCTCCAGGGAGACCTTATTGTGGCCTTTCAATACATAAAGGGAACCTATGAGAAAGACGGGGACAGACTTTTAATCAAGGCCTGTTGCAATAGGACAAGGGGTAATGGTTTTAAACTGAAAGAGGGTAGATTCTAGATACAAGGGTGAGATTTTTTACAATGAGGGTGGTGAAACACTGGAACAGGTTGCCCAAAGATATTGTAGATGCCCCATCCTTGGAAACATTCAATGTCAGGTTGGACAGGGCTCTGAGCAACCTGATTTAGTTGAAGATGTCCCTGCTCATTGCAGGGGAGTTGGACTACATGACCTTTAAAGGTCTCTTCCAATCCAAACCATTCTATGATTTCAACAAGAGCTTTTTTCAGTCTTGCATATGTGAACTGTCCTTAATCTTTGGTATCTAAGTATAGAAATACAGAAGAAACTAAAAGCAGTAAACCAAATTAAACATATATAATATATTAATGTAGCATTAAATGAAACTTGCATCTAGAATGATTTTGCTACAAATATTTCTCAAATCTGATGAGACTTCAGGAAATGAAAAACATAATCCAGGTTTTTTTTCCCAATTTAAGAGGGAGAAAATGATGATGTAATTAGAACTTGGGCGAAAATAAAAGCTGGAATGCATACATCAAGACCACATCAACTCAGAGATTTTTTGGTGGGAATATTAAAAAAAAAAAATCAGCACTGAAGCTTGTTATCTGACATGAAATACCTAGTAGGTAGATTTCCCAGTTTCCTCCAGAATCTTTCTTTGATAAGATACCTTTCACACAGTGAACATTACATTTCTTTCCTATATCCAAATTCGTTATCTAAATCCAAAATATCCAAAATATTAAGTCATATGAAGCCTTTGTATTGCCAGTGACAACTTTATAATTCTTA